TGATCTCAAGATGATGAGGCGCTCAGACTGCAAAACTTGGAGAGGTCTTTGTCATAGCAAAAGGACAAGCAGACAGCAGAGGGCTATCTTATTCTCAGGCCAGGATGCAAAGTGGAAATAAATGCGAAGATTTCACAAGTTTTGAGTCTTGACACCAGATGAGTGACTTGTTTCTGGTTATCCAATTATCTTGCTTGTATCTTCCTCAAGCCCAGCATCTCAACTTGCAGCTTCAAAGACGCCTAAAAAAATGGACAATTTTAAGACAGACTTTGTTAAGATATCAATGCTTGTGCAGTCACCTCTGTAAAGCCAATATTTGAGACAAAGCTAGCAACCCAACCTATTGAGCACAGACTCTCCTCTCACCTTCCACAGCCCCTATTGTGATTTTCCTCTGCTGAGTTCTCATGAGGGACAAAGTTGGCTTAGCAGAGAGAACAATCATTTCCTTTCCTTTGCAGGAAAGATCTCATTTAATACAGTGATATTAACTAAAAGGGACTCCATGAAATGCTGCTCCAGTTTTATGATCTGGCTAAACTCTGGAGACTTCTGGGAGAGGGAATTTCAGAAAATAGGAAGAGGATGTTTCAGCAGAGTCTGACTCAAATGCCTGATGATATTAAGTCTCTCAGTTCCCTGCAACTCATGTGATCTTTCATTTCATTAACACTGGTAATGCTAATTAGCAAAATTAGTAAAGCCAATATTTGAGACAAAGCTAGCAACCCAACCTATTGAGCACAGACTCTCCTCTCACCTTCCACAGCCCCTATTGTGATTTTCCTCTGCTGAGTTCTCGTGAGGGACAAGCACTGTTACTGCAGAAGCTGTCAATACTCTACCTCTTCTCCCAGTGAATCCACTCCTGCTCAGGCAGTACAGAAAGTTATTCCTTTGCCTTTACCCTCCCAGGGCAGCCTAACGTCTGCACCACCAGCACTGGGGCTAAGGGCTTTCCTTGCTAAGGAAGGGTACTGCCATTCACTTTCAGGAGTCCAGTCAAAAAATTTGGGGTCAAGCTCCAGAACTGAGTATATTCAAGAATTGCTCTTACACAAAAGATGCCAGGGCAGAAAGAGGCAGCTTTCCTCTGGGCCATAGGAGTAAGGCCAATAAGCCAGGTGCTGCCTGGGGTCCTATTAATTCTGAATTCCCCTAGTTGTCTACATTTATACACCTCTACACACCTATATTTTTTTTTTTTCTCGGCATGTGTATAGAGGGCCCATACTTCCAAAAAGTAGTTGGCTGTCTCTGATTATGCCATCTCCAAGGCATGCTATTTTGCAGACCTAATGAATAATTGTTCTTCATACTACTTTCCACAGCTGTTTTGTTCTCCACAGCCAGCAGAGTTTCTTGGCCTCCTGTCCAAACCCCAAAAGTGGAACTTCCCAAGAGGCATGTTCTACCATCACATGAAAAAAGCTGTAAAGTAGAAGCCAGAAGGACATAAGAAGAGAAAAGCAACCTGACACCCATAGCTACAGCACTAATGTGAATCTTGTACTCAAACTAGTTGCACTGTACAGGAGATACAGGCATCCACACACCCAAAAATGCCACAGAGATTGTATTGAAGAAGCAGACAATTTCAAAGCAATGCCTTCACCCCTTTTACATGAGTTTGCACAGCTGCACCAGCAGATGTAGGCACTTGGATACTTCTGCTCTAGAGAAACTTACGGCTTAAAGAGTGCTATACAACCAATGTAAAACTGTGTGAGGAAAATCATATGCTAAGTATATGCTATCTTGCTCAAGATACTAATCATCATCCCCATGAGTAACAGACTTTTTACACACTTTAATAAAGGAAAAGGAAAAAAACTTAGGGATGCAGCAAGCTTTCAAGATGAATGAGAAGTGGGGCCCAGGGTCTAAGAAAGAAAAGGAAGCAAAGTACAGGGTGATGTAATGGAACTGTAGCAAGTCAGGAACAAGCGACTGTAAGAAACACTGAGTCCAGTGACACTTGTTTGTTATCAAAGCAATTTGTCCGAGTCTCATCTCAGTTTTTTCAAATAGTAGTAGAAATATCACTCATCTTCTGATGACGGGATTTGAGTAAAAAATCTGGGACATACATATGCTGTATATAATAGTGTGCTGTCCTGGGTTTGGGTGGGGGGATAATTTTCTTCTCAGTAGCTGGTACAGTGCTGTTTTGATTTTAGTATGAGAATAATGTTGACAACACACTGATGTTTTAGTTTTAACTCAGTAGTTCTTCCCCAAAGTCAAGGACTTATTCAGTGTCTCATGCTCTGGCACTGAGCAGACACACCAGAATCTGTGAGGGCACATGGCCTGGGCAACTGGCCCAGACTGCCAAAGGGATATTCCACACCACTGATTGTCATGCCCAGGGGCTGATTTTTGCTGGGGCATGGGCTGGGAGTCAGTCAGTGGGTGGTAAGCAATTGCATTCTGCATCACTTTGTCCCTCTTCAGTTTTATTCTTCTGTCTCTCCTTTTCATTGCTACGACATTACAACTTTTACAGAATAGTTGGTGGTGTCATTACTGTCATTGCATTTTATTTTGTTTTGATTATTAAACTGTTCTTATCTCAACCTGAGTTTTACAGGCTTTTTTCTGATTCTTCACTGTGGAGAGAGTGGGGGACAGAGTGAGCAGCTGCGTGGTGCATACTTGCCAGCTGGGGTTAAACCATGATGGGTGTGCACACATAAATATTAATATATAATTATAAATACAAATGCTTCATATACGTTCAGGATTTGAATTTTTTCAGTTCATTTTTTTCTTAAAAAGGTCAAGAGGTACCAGTCCATCAGAGGGCTTTGGTTTTCTGCTATTTTTTATTAGGAAATGAATAAAGACAAGTGATTGCCTGAAAAAATATTTCAGATGTAAAACTGAACAATGTTAGATGCACACATTGTCAGGCAGAAAAAATATTTACATGGGACTAATTCCAGTATCTGATATTGGTTCAGTATATAGATTGTTGAACTTCCTTTCATCTGTGATCCTAGTTTATACCAGCAGCTCAAAAACCAAAACAAATCACATATTTAAAAACAAAGGAAGTTCTGCTTAAGTAAAACTCCTTTCTAATATTTAATGTTCAACAAAGCCAAAGAAGGAAACAGTGGTGAAAGCAAACAAATATGAATTATGAGGAATATCTCTCCATTTATTGCAGGTAAAAGCTGCTTAACTTGGTCTGACTGCTAAACAGACTCACAAGCAGATTCAGCTCAAGCAAGTTAAAACTCCCTCTAATGGCAACTGGATAAAGGACAGACTTTGAAAACATTAAAAGCATCTCACTGTATTTGAAACCTATTTTTCACTAAGAAAATGTTGGTATGACTTATTTTGAAAAATGAAACTTTACCCAGTGCCCAAGATTCTTTTAAATTACAACTTCTTTTACATTCCTGACTTAAAGTTTTTATGAGCTTTGTAAGATGTGTTATGCAAAAATTTACACATTATGTAAAATGTGTTTTCTCTAACCTGCCTGTTGCTTTAACAAACTGGCTTAGAAAAGCACTCCAGACAGAAGATTCCTCCCATACACAAAAAGGGCCCTGGTATTCTGCAATACCACTCCAACAGTAACACTAAACACTTAGAGAGATGACTTAGTTACAGAATCTGGAATTCACAGGCAAAATAAGCATTTAACCTGTGCAGGGAGTGTAATAAAATTAGAAAAGACTACATTCTGCTCACAAATACCAAGCAGAAATTGTCCCTATAAAAACAGGAAAATTAAGAACAAACATCAACTCCCTTCCATTGGATGTGTGCAGGATTAAAATGTTAAGGAGGGAAAGTAACTAACGGATTCCTTGTTAGCACAAGTTAGATGTGCTGCAGCAACATATAGAAAAAAAAAAAAACCAAAAACTTACAAAGTCACCAATTTAGAAAGCTTCAACCTCTGTCAAAATGAGATCTAGCAAAGCCTTTTCCCATAGCCCTGAGGCAATTTAAGTTCTCAGATAATTTTGGTTGGATATTCTCCTTTATTTCTATCTTTATTTTCTACCTCTACACACAGACATGGGATTAAAAAACTGAGAGGCCGTTATTTGATTTATTAACAGTAAAGATTCTGTGCATCGTTTTTATAGCCTGAGGGTCATTTCAATTACAAATTACAATTACATTTCAACTACAAAAAACAAGAATCTCAGGCTCTTGCTGGTCAAAAGTGAAATGTTCTCAGAAGAGAAGTATTTAAGGGGGTAGAAATTCAAAGTAAAGTGAATTGAACATTTAAAACAATGTAAAAACTGTTTCTAAAAAGCAGACTTTTATTCAAAAATTGAACTTCAAAAAATGCTGACTTTTTATCAAAAGCTCACTAGAGCCATTCCCCTCAAAACCAATCTAGTAACTCTCCCACTTTAGTAACAGAAGTTTTATAGAGAGGTGTGGAAAAGACTAGTCTTTTGTGCTAGCCTGCACCCCGCCCCCCCCCTTCAGAATAAGAAGGGCATATGGAATCTGATCCAAACCTCACTTACATAAATAAAAAGTCTGGTGAATTCACACTAGCCTACATGAACTGTTGTTACTTCTTCTCATAGTTACTGGAGGTTCAAAGGAGAAATGACTGCTTATCCCAGCAACTTAAGTAGTAAGCAGATTTATAATGGCAGATAAAATAAGAAGTGTATTTTGAAAGCAGACATGAAATACTTGTCTGCAAGATGCTAGAGACACGACAGATCAGTCTGTGCTTGTAAGTAAACTCATTTTATTGAATGGTTTGAAGGGCTGCTTAAAATAAAAACAATTTACAATCTGTACATGCAGTTTCAATTCTAAAAAATTAAATTTGTTTTTCAGAAAACATGCATATTTATGTACATCATTTTGAAATAAAAGAAAGCATTACCATTTACTGCAGAAATTCCTCTTTAAATATCTTTTAAGAGATAAGGCAGGCAGGAGCAATTCTGCAGAAAGCAAAGCTTAGAAAGCTTCTCTACTCTGCAGGTAAAGTTTATTCATTCAGAGATATTAGTAACAGTAGAAGAAGGTCGTTTAAGGATGGATTCAACTGAAAATGACAGTGGTTCAGTTGTTGAAAGTTTTGTTGTGGCCTGTTTGGCCCCAAAGAAGTCTTTTGCACATTTGTCTACAGTAAATTTGTATTTTTGATTCTCTTTAACAGCACACTCCCTGTATTTCTTAGAAGCATCTTCAAAAGTCTCCTTCACAAATGACATTCTTAACTCTGCTGTTGGCTTGTCAGGAAATGTCTGATGGAACAGTGACTGAAATGCACTGTATTTGAGTGGTGGAGGGGGCTTGGTACTGTTTTTGCTGATCTTGCTTAGTGCCTGTTCCTGAGGAGACAGAGAACCCTTGTCAGAAATTTGGGAGAAAGTCCTTTTTGGAGGAGAGAATGCTGACCTCTCACGAGCTTCCTGATGAAGGCACAGTATTTCATTACGTGACTGCTGAATGTCTCGCGTGTGAGTCAGAACAAATGAATTTTCCAGTTTTGGAGGCACAATGTCATGCTCAGTGTTTGGACAGTCCTGACTTTGTGAGACCCTGGTATCCCAACCTGTCCCAGGTTTGAGAGCTTGTACAGCAGTAGCATTTAACAGGCATTGCTGGTAGAGGAGAGCATCACTAATGGGGCCACATTTTGGCCACACTAAAAACCTAGAAGACAGGGGATACTGCCTGTAGGTAGTAGCTACACTGACATTTGAAGAAATTAGTTCCATGTTGCTAGGTCCTGAATACTGCATTGTTAGGTCAAGGCAGGTTGGTAAAAAATTTGAAAATTCCTTGTTTGGATTATCAGCTTGAGTAGTGTTGAAGGCTGTTTTATACGAATTGTATTCGGCTCCACGCACCATACGGTTAGGGAGAAAAAGGGCAGCTGCTTGTCTAGCTTCCATCATATCTCTCTCTTTATACTCTCTCTCTAGCATAATGTTCTCCAACTCCTTATCAGCAAAAGCCCGTCTCTTTCTCATCCTGTCACTTACAGGAGGTGGCAAGGGTGAATTCCCTCCCAGGTAAGAGTCTGTTGGAATAGGACGATAACCTAAAACAACAAAGCAGCATTAGGAATTAAGCCACTTAAAAATTAAAGCTGTGTTTGTAAAACAGCTGCATGAGCCAGTCCCACCAAGCACTGTGCTCTTGCCACAGGCCCTGGTCACCATCAGCTCCTACAGAAGTCACCACGACACAGAGGCTTAGTGAGCAGGCACATTCAGTTCCTCAGTGCAGATAAGCAAGCCCTGCTTTTTTGACATGTTTAGCATCCATCAAAGCTAGCTGATTAGTAGTTTTTTAAAAAGCAGTTCCAGACAAGCAGATTGAGGAGGGAGAAGGGAAAGAAGGAAAAAAAAAAAAAAGGCAAAGCCCTACTGTGTATTATGACTGGTATTCCATCATGAGGCTTAAGGAGAGAGATAACCATTCAGTTTTAACACATATGGAAAGCATTCAAATATTTTATTTCTTATGAATTAGAATTTCAATAAAACAGAAATCCAGCATCCAGGGAATTTAATTATCGAACTACCTGGCTTAATTTAATATAAAAGATAGGATCCAATCCTGTTTGCTCTACCCAGACAAGTAATTCCATTGAATTAATGGAAGTATTTACATGAGTTAGGAGAACAGGATTTTACCTGTTTTCACCCCCATTCCTCTCATACACGTTTCCCCTTTTCCAAGGAAGACACCTATATCTACAGCTGGTGTCTTCTATTTTCTAAAGATGAATCACTATGTACACATTTCTAGAGATGGTAGAAAATCCCAAGGAGAACTAGGAGAAAAGAAAAAGACAGTTACGATAAATTAGAGGAAAGAATACAGAAGAGTTTTCCAAAAAAACGAACTGTAGATGTAAATTAGAGGTTTCTAAAAGAACTAAATATTAATTGAGATTGAACAGACAAAGAAAAGAGCTTTCGATTTCAGAAAAAAAAAAAAATAATTGAGAAGTACAATGATTTATAGGGATATGGTTTGGAAAGCAATTAAACCAAACAAAGGAAAAAATATATGCACAATCCCAAACGGGTGTGGGGGAAGAAATACCACCTTTTCACTAAAATAATGATCTTTAAAAGGTAATTCTTCCACAGTTAATATTTTCGACAGTGAAAAAATTAAGCACCTTACTTTGCAGATCTTACTTTGGATAATGTCTCAAACGGAACTGCTGTGTTAGGCGTTCAGATAAAAAGAAAGAATTAATCTATTTACTCGTTTGCTGGTTAAAACACCCGTGAATAAACTACCCTGTGAATAAATTACCCTGCGCTGCAAAACGCTGCTGGGTAGCCGTGTAAAAAGGCTGCAGCTTGTAACAGTAACTCTCAAATTTCAAACAACCGTCGCTAGCACTTCAGGCATTATTTTGGGCGGAGGGGGCATGGAACTGAAATTCTGCCGCACCGATTCCAGCCTCGAAGGGCAGGAGCCTCCGCCGCCCGGCGCTGGGAGCGGGCGCGCTTCAGCGCCTGTTTCGGGTAAGGACGCTGCGTTTGGACGGGAGGTGCGGGACGCACGCCTTGGGCGGGAATTACGGGTCTGCCTGGGGCAGAGCGGAATTTCCCCGCTGCCAGCGATGCTGCGGGAAGCCGTGGAGGGGCAGGGGATGCTCTTACCTTCCAGGATACTCTTGGCCAAGAGGCTGGGCGTTCGGACGTGCCTCTGGTAGACGGCTTTGCGCTCCAGACTTGCCTGCTTCCCCGTCAGCCCCTTCTTGTCCTAAGATAGCGATCGGATGGCGCCGTCAGGCAGGGGCCGCCCGTCCCGTCCCGTCCCGTCCCGTCCCATCCCGTGCCGTGCCCCCTCACCTCGGTGGCCTGCTGCCGTCGGAGCGCCACCTGGGCGGCCATGACGCGCTGCCGCTCCACCACCAGCAGGCAATTGGCGCACTGGCAGTCGCGCCAGCGGCAGAACCGCTTGTGTCCCTTCAGGCACGACACCACGCCGTGGTTGCGGCATCGGGCGCACTTGGGCGTGCGGCTCAGCTTCCGCGGTTCGCTCCGTCGCGGAGCCGCCGCCGCCTCCTCGCCTTCCTCCTCCTCCTCCTCTTCGTCCTCCGGGCCGGTGCTGCCGCGCGGAGCATCGGGTGCCTCGTCCAGTTCCCCTTCCAAGCTCTCTACGTCGATCTCCCAGTCGGCGCCGGCGCGTTCTTCAGCCATAGCTCCTCGGCGACGCAGCTACGAGAGAGGGGTCAGGCCTCCAGCCCCCGCGGCGGAACGGCAGCCGGAGCACGCCCGGCTTCCCAGGTGCCTGCCTGCAGCCCCGTCGGGAAGTCACGGCAGAGCCCGCCTGGGATGTCGTCTTTCCCCTTACCGTCACCTCTGGTCTCTTGCGCACGACCCGCGCGAGGCTCCGTTTAGCCACGACGGACGTCTCCCTCCCTCCCTCGCTCCCTCCCTCCCGGCGCGGCTTGCGGGGAGCTGTGATGGCTCGCCGCAGGCAGGAGCGCGTCTCCTGCAGGAACCGTCCCAGGGCGATGCCCCGGGGGACGCCTACGGCTCTGTCCGGCCTTAACAGGGTCCTGCTTATCAGAGGATCCCGAGAACCCTCTGGCCAGCAGCGTTCAAACTTGGGAGACAGGCAGAGGACAGCTGGACTTCACACGTCGCCGCTGTCCGCTCCAGCAACCAAAGGTACTATGAGCTCCTAGAGCTCTCTGCGCAAGCTGCATCTTCCGACCCCCACCTGCTCCCACACGACCTCCCTGTCCTTGCTTCTGCACACTGCACTTACCAAAGGCAGGTGGTGCAGGAAGCACGCAGCCCCTGAGCTCCTCGCAGTTCGGAAGGGCTCCTGCCCCAGACCGGCCGGAGACAAGGAACTCCCGATCCCCGCACCTGGAGCTTAAGGCTCTCCGACAAACGGGACTTTGCGCCGTCGGGGGGATGCCTGCGGTGCGGTGCGCGGCTGTGGGTGCCCGCTGGTCGTGCCGGGGCCGCGGACGGCACCCCGCCCCGCAGCCGCCGCTCCGATTGGCCCGCGCGGCCGCAGCCCCGCCCCCCGCGCCCGCCGCCCGCTCGTGGGTGCGGGCGGGCGCGGAGCGGAACCGGAGTGGGCGATCAGGTGGTGAGCTCTCACTGCGGGGCGGAAAAGGAGTGGGAGAGGAAAAAAGGGAGAAAAGAAGGTAGCGCTCGGGATGGTGACAGCTACGAAACCCGCTCCTAAGGCGAGCGACGTCCCTCTACCCGAGAGCGGGCCGGGGGCGAGAGTTTAAAAGCCTCAGACAGCCACCGCTTTTTTTCGTTTGCGGTCGTTCCCGTTGCTTGACCCACTAGTGGAAGGTAGGCATGGCAATGGTCTTTTTTCCGAGTCTGAAAATGCGGTGGGATCCTTTCCATTCGGGAATTAAGGGGAGGAATATTTTTCTAGCTATTTCTAGCGTTCCCTCCCTTCAGAGGGAACGTTTTCCACGGACCGCTGAGGTTTTTCTCCTAAATAACTTTATTTCCCATGAGTAATTTTATTCCTGCCCCTTCCTGACGGAGGCTGCTCTTCGGGAGCTGGGTAATGTCCTTTGTCTGCCCAATACGAGAGCGATCGAAATTGTGACCCACAAAATCTCAGTCGAGAAGCGGAGAGGCTAGAGCTCCGTGCTCCTTCCAGTGAAAACAGGAATTCCCAAGAGGTAGAAATGGACAAAATACACCTCGGCCGCGTTCAGCACCGGGCAGGCGAAATACTGGTTTGTTTAAAATTTAAACGTATTTTGACAGGGAAGAAAAATAATAGAGGCATGCGGGAGAACATTAGTTTCCCACCAATGTGTACTGATCGAAAACTAACTACATGCAGAACATATGGCCGAAACTAGTTTCCTAAAAAGAGAAAATATTTTGCTCTTTCCCTGACAAGTGCGTGTGTGTAATAAATACTGACAGTATTCATGTATATAATAAACACGGGCGTCTACTCACGGTAAGCACACGGAGCAGCTGCCGGCCGCCGGTTCGGCACGGAAAAACCCTGCCCTTACAGGCCTTGGGGACAAAGGCCACCGGGCGAGTGGCGCAGGCTGGTAGCTGCGTGAGCCGGCGGGGGCCCGGCGCCCTGAGCTCCGAGTTCTGCTGCAGCCCGCACAGGGCACCAACCCTTCCCTTCGCTGCGGGCACCCGCAGGAAGGAGAGAGGGTTTGTTCCCGGAGATGTTTGTCCTCCCCGGGCGGCACCGTCGGGAGAGCGGGGAGGAGGGAGTGCATCACCCGACGGCAGGTATTACACATCTCAAAAGAAAGCCCGGCTACTGTTTGACTTACAAGCATGACTAAAAGGCAAATACCCAAGGAATTCCACTTTCTCTCTTGGGGTCCCTCTTAAAAGGCACAAGCATGACAAAGGACCTGCTAGGTTAGGAAACAGAAGTCGCCTTTGTCTGTAAACCGACACCAAATTACAAAGTACGATTCTGCGGTCCGCTGGAGTAAATTACAAAACAGTTCGCCTCCTGTTTACTTTATCCACAGGGAGCTGTGAAACCCAGCCACGATTTTAAAGCGTGTTTGTATAACTTTCTTCTACTCCTGTTGTTTGCGCTGGGCTCCGCAGCGCTTTTGAGCTCCCCTCCAGCCACTCCTCTCTCTCCCGTCTGGAAGAAGAGGTGTCTCTGCCGTCCTCCGGCGGGACGCACCCGCGGGAGTAGGCGGAAAGCGATTTCAGGCACTGCCTCTCCTGCTCAGTCCTCCGCTTTGGTCCGTGGCGTCAGCCGTGCCCGCTGTGAGCTGACACGGGCAGATGAGTCTCCGTGCCGTGCTGGGAAAGGGGCTGATTTCCATGCGAGGGGAGCCTTTGAAGCACGCGATGTGCAGCTGTGCATCTATCTACCTGCCCCGCACCGCCTTCCCAGCACAACTCCCGCCCGCGGCCAGGGCTGCTGAGGCGCTCCGGGGCTCTGCAGAGCCTCCGCCGCGCACCCCCGCCCCGCGGGGTCCCTCCGGAGCTGGGCTGCCCAAGGCGGGGTGGGGGTGTGCCGGACCCCGGCGGCGGCCGGGGAGGGGTCCTGAGGCCTCGCCGGCGGCGGCGGGGGCTGTGCCCTTGCGGCAGCGCCCTTTCCCCGGAGGCAGAGGAGCAGCCCCGGGGCACTGCACCCTCGCCTCGCCCGAAGGCCGGCGGCCTCGGAGCGCCCAGCGCTGGGTCCTGCTTTGCATCGTGGACAGGTGCAGGTGCAAGTGCCGCAGTGCCCCGCGCCTGGCCTCCCCAGCCCTCCCTTCCCCCGGGGAAATTTATTAGCGAGGTTAGGGCAGGCTAACCAAACGGCAGCTCCGGGCGCAATTCCCCCGGAGGAATGCTTTGATCCTGCCCTCTCTCCGCGCCGTCGAGGGCAGATTGCAATGACAAACGCGGGCGATCCCAGCCGCTTGTTCGGTCAGAGATGTTACCGTTTAATCTGAAACAAATTGCCCCTGCCCGCGCCCCGCCCGCCCGCCCCTTCCTTGCCCTCTCCGGGTCGCGGTGCCCGGGCCGGCTCCCGCAGTGCCCCGCACGGGACGCCCTGATCCAGCCAGGATCGGGCGCGGACCGAAGGGGTTCTCCTCCGCCAGTCACCCTATATTTGCTAAACGAAGATACTGACATTTGGCGGGTGATCTCAAATGCGGGAAGTAGGGGAGTCGCATAGGGAAAAATATTTAAAAAAACCAAACAACCAAACCTACAAAGATATCACCTTTTCCCGTTTTATCTAATCAGTACAAACCGCCGTTTCTTTTACAGGTTTTTTTTTTTTTTCATTAAAATGTGGATTTTATATATATGTATATAGTACTCAATCTGTCTCTTGTAAACAGCATTTAAGTAAACCTTAGCACTGAAATAAACCTAGGTAAGATTTTTATTCATGACATACATCTTTCTAAACTGATTGTGCATTTTAAGTAAGTTTAACTGATTGTGTTTTAAATAAGCAAGTTTTTCAGTTTGGATCTGGGTTTTCTGGGTTTTTGTGGGTTTTGTGTTCTGTTTTAAATGACCATTTAATTTTTGCCTAACAGGTGTGTAGGTACAGAGTCAGAGGGATTGTTATTCCTATATGCCATTCAAATAAATATAATAAATACATATTATGAGGAGGTAAGAAATGTTGAGGTAACGTATTCATATTCACTATATCATGATATGGAAGAAAATTTTATTGAACGTGACAGTAATACCCCTGCCTTTGTAAGAATGTTTGCTTTGGCAAGGAGGGCAAGGGTTAGCCTCTTTGTAGGAAGACTTGCTTATCATACCAGGATAATCTTCTGTCCTACAAAACTGGAATGATATCAAAAGCAGTTCAGGTGAACAGAGCAGAACTGCCAATTCTGACACAGCTAGTGAAGGCCTGACAGGCAGTCCAGAGTCTCCAATGGAAGGATTCACATGGACATAGATAGCTTTGGATTCAGCATGGGGTGCAGCAGATTTTCCCATTTGCAATCCTTCTGACCCTGGCAGCTGAAGGGATGAGCTCCCATGAAGGAAGAGGAATAAACTATAAAAGAAAGGCAGTTTAGCCCTCTGTTGTTGGAGACTCTCCCTGCTCACTGGGGATGTACCAAGGGGGCACAGTTTGGCCTCTGCAAACAGACCACACAGTCCTGGAGGTCATTTGTTGAAGCAAGAAGAAACATATCTCAGTAAAATAGAACTGCCTCTTCTGCAGCCTCCAGGTTCATGGCCAGGGGCTATGAGGGCAGACCTAAATAGAATTTAAGTCAAAACTAGTCCAAACCCATCCCCATCCAATTCTGTGCTAAAATTTTGAATTTAAAAGAAAAAAAACAACAACAACAACTACAAAGCACGAGGAGTGTTTGTGTGCCGTTCGTGGCAGCTTTGCTGTGGCTCATAAACAAGGCTGACCTTTGGTTTGCCAGCATTTAATAGGCCAGTAGACATTTGGCAGGTCTCTTGCTAAAATGTACTGCAAAGTTGGATCAGCTCTCAGCATGAATATCAAGAATCCACTATGCAAGCAGTGAGCACAGCAAATTGTCAAGTCAGCAACTAATATACTTCCCTATAATCTTCCCAAATGTCCTAAGTAGTTTGGCAAATCTCTTGTTGCAATAAATTCTAGTGAAGTTTTGGGGTTTCTTCTTTTTTCAACATATGGCCTTAAAAAGTAACTTAGCCAAGAATATTTTTGGAGTCAATGCAAAGTTTGCCGGAGATGTTTTCTCAAA